AATCCGGGTCAACCAGAAGAACATACAGTAGAAGGGGTACGTTTACAATTGGTATTCAGGGATGCTGGAGGATCTGGCTTCACAGAAAACACAGGTGCCAGCAAAACAAAAAAATAATAATATATATGTTTTTAAATATATGTCTTTATATATATTTTCTTAATAAAATATTGTGTGCCTTTTTTTGGGCGCTAACGTTTTAGTGAAACTAGCTCCGCTATAATTTATCAGTTACATGATATTGTCTCATGAGAGTTAAATATTAATTATCTGAAAAAATTCTTGATCATATGTGAAATATCGATGTTCATACAATACAAACATGTTTTATTTTCTGATATGACGAAAAATAAAAAATTGAAGTCGTTTATCCATATTAATATATATGTCAAATATGTCTCGCAAATCTAAAATAACAGACGAAAATCTCTAGGTAGATTCACTGATAACCCTACACAGTATATTGGGGTTGGTCACAATGGTTGATCATCAAACATAGTTCAGGTCAATATAGAAAATTACTATGTGCGGATTTTTTAATGTTACACATATATATATCATCAAAACATTATAGTAAATAATCAAAGATTTATTTAAACTTTAAAACGTAAAGGCTTGATAACCAAGCAAGCTGTTGGAATAATACTTCCGTGATTGTATTTTCAGATGCTCAATTAAGGGCCTGTCAGAGAGTTTTTCATTTATATTAGTAAAAAAATTTTTGTGAAGGTTCAAAGTTATCAATTTTGTTGATTTTACTATTAACGATGGAAATTTAGATAAACTTTAAAACGTAAAGGCTCAATAATCAAACTAGCTGTGAGAATAACCCTTCCGCGATTTTGTTTAAAAACACTCAATTAATGACTGGTCAGAGAGTTTTTTTCATTTATATTAGTAAAAAAATTTTTTGTGAAGGTTCAAAGTTATCAATTTTGTTGATTTTACTATTAATGATGGAAATTTAGATAAACTTTAAAATGTAAAGGCTCAATAACCAAACCAGCTGTGAGAACAACCCTTCCGCGATTTTGTTTAAAAACACTCAATTAATGACTGATCAGAGAGTTTTTTTCATTTATATTAGTAAAAAAAATTTTTTGTGAAGGTTCAAAGTTATCAATTTTGTTTGATTTTACTATTAATGATGGAAATTTAGATAAACTTTAAAACCTAAAGGCTCAATAACCAAACAAGTTGTGTGAATAATATTTCGCAATTCTATTTTCAAACACTCAATTAATAGCCTATCAGAGAGTTATTTTCATTTATATTAGTAAAAAAAAATTTTATAAAAGTTTAAAGTTGTCAATTTTATTGGTTTTTACTATAAAAAATGGGAATTTAAAATGTAAAGGCTTAGTAACCAAGCAAGCTATGTGAATAATCTTTCCGCAATTGTATTTAAAAACACTCAATTAATAGTCTATCAGTGAGTTTTTTTGATTATATTAGTAGAAAATTTTTTTATAAAGGTTCAAAGTTGTCAATTTTATTGATTTTTACTATTTTGGAGGCGTTACAAAAATTTCAAAGTAACGTTTAAAAAATCCGCACATATGAAAATTTGTTATTGATGTTTATTATTTTTGATGATAAACCATTGTGACCAACCCCAACAGTATATGCAATTTAAGAATCGGGATAAGTATATACATATAATTGATGAAAATTGAAATTTTATAACTATAATAAATAGAAATATGGAAGACGTAAAGACGATATTTGATTATGAAGAGGTATGTAGATATTTAGATGTAAATAATCTAGACTTGGGTATTCTCAACATGTAATGGGAAATAGACATAATCCATACGTATTATTTATTAGCTTATTTTTTTGGTGCTTTGCTTCAGCTTATGTAATCTTGACCACCTAGGTCAGTTTATTGATATATAAAAAGAAATAAATTATAAGATGAAAATATATAAAATGTTTTTCCATATTACCTTGATATTTATTTATGTGTTGGTGATGAAACGGTGGTGCTTGGATGAACATTTCGAGGTGGGTGAGTACTAGCTTGTTCTAATGCCTGTATTAGTAAGCTTTTATTTACGATCATAATATTTCTTAAGGTCAATAATAAACGAATGAGGGATTTCAGCATGGTCAACGTGGAAGTATCGAGGTATACCAGCCAGATCTTTCACAAGAATATTTAAATATATAACAGAACCAGCGATTAGGATTCCTACAATTCCGAATTGGTTGCCAACCGGTCTACACAATTCACTGATAAAACTTGCACTGTCCAATGCTTCTCTCCATAATTTTACATCATCATCTGCCTTCTTTGAATTACTGCAAGATTAAAAAAATATGTAAAACAGTTAAAACAAAATTTAGAAGAAGGAAGAAGTGATTCTTTTGGATTATTTGAAGCATCGGAGCAATATGAGTTTAGAGAGCAATTTGTTGCATTTTCGAAAGCTGATTACACCCAAATGCAAAGATTTCCATTAATATATGAATTTGTTAAACATTGAATTTGGTCAATTATAGTCCATCAACAACATATTGAAGGAATGTTCAACAAATATGATATCAAAACTCACCCTAACATGAGTGAATCGTTACAGGAAGCCAGGCTCCAACTTTCAAGTCCTACCCCATTAGATTTTGAAATCACTAAAGAAAAATTAACAGCAATTCAAATGAAAAGACGAAAGGAAACTTCTTTATCTGCAGATCTTGCTGTTGGGGAAGAAGCAGCTAAAAAATTAGCACAGAGTTTTTTAATACCTAGAAGAAATTAACCAATATTTTTCACTACCTTTAAATCATATTTTATTTATTTATATATTTATTTATTTATTTATTTATTTTATTTATTAAGCATTTCTTCAAAAGGAAAAGATTTTTGAAGGAAAAAAAGATCAAAAATTTTTTATTAATAAAATCGCACAACTTTGAATTCTTATAAATCCTTGTTCTACTAATAATTTTTAAAAAAACTCTCTGTCAGGCTATTCTTTGAATCACAGAGAAAAAAACTATGGAAATTTTTTTACTCTAACTTGTTTGGTTATTGAGCCTATACGTTTCAAAGTTTTAACAGTATTTTTAACATTTTGGATGATTTTACTAATAAAATTAAAAAAAACTCTCTGTCACCATGTTCAGCATCACATTTATTACAATTTTTCTTAATTTCATACTTGTATCTTTTTTTTTTGAAGGAGAGGATGCAATTTTTATTTTTATATTCATTGAAAAAAAGTTAATTAGTAAATTTTATATATGATGTCAATTAGTTTTGATCTACATTAGTCCATTGTACACCCCAATAACATGTGCTTCTCTAGATTTTTTCAAAAAAACTCCAAAAAAGGATAGGTACAGGGTTCAACAAAAATTCCTGTACCCTGTACTTTTCAAGGTTTATTGAGTGAACCTCAAAATGTACAGGGTACAGGTCACCTGTTCCATATCTGCGCCATACCTGTACCAAAAATTTTCCTGTACCTTTTCAGATTTTTTGCATGTCACCTGTACCATTTACCTGTACCTTTCTAGGTTTAGTGAGTAAATCTTGAAAAGTACATGGTACAGGGATCAACAAAAATTTCCTCTACCCTGTACTTTTCCAGTGTCTCTTTTTATCTACTTCTCTCATGTATCACAAATTAATGATTCCATTGTACATTGGGGTGTTAGATATTAGTATAGTCACAAACATAGGGGAAATAAAATAATAAAATCAAATACAGTGCAGGACATCTATAATGGTCAATAGTCCGAAACTTAAAATTTTAGAAGATCTTTCTAATTTAAGTAATC